AATTTGGTTGGAACTTGTCAAATTTCAAATTTCAAATTTAAAAATGTGTAAAACATTGTCACGTCCAAGTTTGATCAAACTTAAATGCTGAATCATGATTTTAGAAATTTTTAGAAAAAAAAAATCATCATTTGGAGTTAGTATGAGGAAGAACAACTAGTTACAAAGTTTACCCACAGATTAAAAAGAGAAATCACACTGTTCTAGATGATCCTTACATGATCATGGTGAACAGTATGATTCCTTTTTTTAATCTGTGGGTCAACTTTGTAACTAGTTTTTTTTTCTCATACTAACTCCAAATCTGATGATTTTTTTTCCTAAAATTTTCTAAAATCATTCTCTATCAATTTATTTTGTTGGTTTTGTCAATATATACATATGAAAAGTTTGAGCAATTTAAATTTTGAATTTAAAAAAAATACAACTTTCAGACAAGATTTTGGTACCCCAAATGATTTCAGTTGAAAAAGTGATAAATACCAAAGTTGAATAACTCATCAAGATCTACAACTTTTGTATTGGTCATTTCTTCATATGACAAAGTGGTAATGACATTGTTCACAAATGTGACACATCTCTCGTATGGTTTTATAAACTATATGAGACATGTGTAAGATTAGTGAACAATGTGTGCTAAGAATTTGTCAAATAAAGAAATGACCAAAATAAAAGTTGTATATATTCATGAGTTGAACAACTTTGGTATTCATCACTTTTTATGTTGAAATCAATTTGGGTCTTAAATTTTGGTTCGAACTTGTCGTTTTTCAAAATTTCAAATTTGAAAGGTTTAAATTTTGTCAAATGACAAGATGACTAAAATAAAAGTTGTAGATATTAATGTGTTGAACAACTTTGGTATTCATCACATTTTATGTTGAAATCATTTTGGGTCTCAAATTTTGGTTTGAACTTGTTATTTTTTAAAATTTCAAATTTGAAAGGTTCAAATTTTGTCAAATTACAAGATGACCAAAATAAAAGTTATATATCTTCATGACCTCTACAACTTTTATGTTTATCAAATTTTCATTTGAGATCATTTGTGTCTCAAAATTATTTTAGTAGTTTTGATTTTAATTTTCTAACCTACACTCTTAAAGCCGTATACCAACACCCCTCTCACATTTCACTGTAGATAAACAGTACCTCCACCACTACCGTCCGATCCGCATCCTATTGTCCCGCATCGTCCACGCGTCCAGACTTCTGGAATCACCGGCTCCCTCTTCCTCTCCGCTCTCTCAGGCCCGAGCGTCTCGCCCATCGCCCCTCTTCCTCTCCCGACATCGCCGCCCCTCCCTCTCACTTTCCCTCTCCTCCACAGCGCCGCCCCTCCCTCTCCCTCACAGCGGCGGCGCCTCTCCCTCTCCCCCACAGCGGCGGCGGCTCCGAAGCCCGAGCGTCCCTCCCTCCACCTCTTCCCCACAAATGGCATGCAGAGCGCGGTGCTCCTCACCCACAACGGCGGCGGTGGCTAACCGGAGGAGCGGGGGACCCGGATCCACCGCGCGCGAGCCTTCCGGCACGACGCAATCCAAGTAATGCTGTCTCTCTCTCTCTCTCCTTCGTCTCCACGTTCTGAGGTCGCCTGCAAACCCTAGCGGTGCAGCCCAGGTTCCGGCGTGTGTAGACCTCTCTCCCGCCTCTGTGTCCATTGTTAACAATTGCTCACGCTGTACTGCGATATTTGCCTCTGAATATTTTTGTTGTTGTTGCAGGTACCCAATTGTGTTGGTCCACAGACGCGTTCAACAACAAAGTCCAATTCTGATTTCTTTGATTGCCTAATTAATGCGATGATCTACGAGGAGTCACAACTAAGTAGGTGATTTCCCCCCAAATAATTGAATTGGTTTGCTATTTTAGGTTTCCAGTATTCATGACTTCGGTTGTATATTCTGCTTACATTTGTTGGTGTGCCTGAACAGGAGCCTTTATTTGTTTTTGTGCCCTCTGAACCAGTGTATACCAATCTTTCTTGGTTTGGTAATTTTAGCTAGATTTTAGGTATTGTATATTGTGGTTTCCTCTTGAAACTTATCCATACGGAAAATGCTTGAACAGCTGCTGCTTTGCACAGGGGTCCACTCAGGTTTGTGCTGATTAGTAACTGGAATGGAGATTTAACCATGTTTAAATTTTGAGTATTACCGTTTGCCCATACTCCCAGTTAAGACAAATGGATAACACTAACAAAATCAAGGTAGACATAAATTTACATGCTCTCTCTCAGTTCTGTTAGATCTGCATATTTCATATATGAACCTTTGTAATTGCATTGAAACTAAAGAAATGGCCCTGATACTATATATACACTCGCATAATCATGTGAACATCCAGTGTTTGCCTACAAGGACCGTACATGTTTGTCTGAATCTGTACCTACCAGAGACCAAGCATGGCAACCAAACAGAAAGGTAACAATGGTGCCATGGCATTCATGTTGTTGCAGTATATGCTGACCGTCGGTTCTTTAGTACTGTGATTGCAATAGATTTTACTGTGAACCAGAATCAGGGAGTATGCAATGCTAATCAGTACACACGTTGTTAAGTAATAACACACAAGTATACACAATTCTTTTTGATATGTGGTTACAATTCTTATTAACTTTTAAAGCTATGCACTTGCTGACTGTCAGTTCTCTTTGCTCGATCCAATTCTCATTTATAGAAAGTTTCTAAAATGCTTGTAGGGAAATAAAGTACCAAGAATACAATTTTCATTTCTGCGTTGAAGACCAAAGTTTACAGACCTGATGCAGTGATCAATATGATAATTGACATATTTGTTAGGGAAATCTTACAAAGTGCCCTTTATATGGCAAGGATGTCAGCTTCCTTATATATGGAATTCTTTTACCAACTGTTTCAAAGGTAAATCTGTACTCCATGATTTCTTCCCCTAATCAGCCTAATTGGCTGCACCTTCGTTATTGATTTTAAAACATATACCAAGCAGACTTGGATCAGTATACACTTTTTAGCTAGGAAAGAAATTTCTACGTACGTATTTTCATTTTTTTAATGATCTACCTCTCATATCCATGTGTTGGCATACCAATGCACTTTCAAAATTAGAACTTGAGTCTTTACTGTTTTGGAAGCGCCCTTTCAACCAGTTGTAGTTGCACTTCACCATTTGGGTTATTTTCTAAAGATGTGCAACTTTCTTCAGTTATCCAAGTGGTCTGTCCTGTCTGAACTGATAGCAATTTTTGTCCACCCCAAGTGACAAGGCCCACATAGCCCAAGTGAAAATAATAAATCAGATGATGTGTCTTTTTTCTTTATGCATTCTATCAGATAGATCTGTAATTCTTATGTGACATGACAGATAGCACTCGCTTACATTATTCTCAACATTACATTACAGTTAACTATGATTTCTCTATTGCCCAAAGGAACAGGTATACAGTTCCTTGGTCTAACTTTCAGAGGGGATCAAATTGTTTAATTCTACATTTGAATTGTTTCAGCACGTGGATTCGCTGCAAAAGTTGACTACCACAAGTTTGACGATGTTTCGGTACAACACTTACTATGCCTTCGAGCAATGTGATGATACAAAACAACCAAGGTTAGTACCCTGCCCTGCTCATGCGTTAATCAGCCTCACAGTGCAGTATCAGCTACTTCGTTACTGCTAATTGCAGATTCAAAGATTAAAAATTAAAGAACCTTGATGTCTTCTGTACAACAAAAATATAAATTGGCAGTAACCTCACAGTACAGTAGTTGTGACTGCATCAAATGTACTGAATTTTCAGTATTGGCTAGAGCAAATGTTTGAACTTTATTATTCTAATTGTATTTACTTAATGTGATTTTGTGAAACTAGTGTCAAAATGTTTAGTGTGAATTGGTGTACTTCCTGGAAATGCTTAAATATATGTCAGAGTTGAGAAAAGATTGTTGTTACTTGATTTGAATTATATATATATATATATATATATATATATATATATATATATATATATATATATATATATGTGTGGTCAGATTTGAATTTGAATTTTTTTTTTCTGAAAAATCCACTGTAGGGGCGGTTTTTGATTGAACCGCCCTTACAAATACACACAGCAGGGGGGCCAGCTGTCCTTACAGAAGTCCACTACAGGGGCGGCTGATATTACCAACCGCCCCTACAAAGTGCACTGTAGGGGCGGCTGAAAACACCAGCCGCCCCTATAGAGGGCACTGCAGGGGCGGTCAGGAAACCGCCTCTACAGAGGCACCCTCTGTAGGAACACCCTGGGAAGGGCGGCTGGCACAGCCGCCCCTACAGAGACTCTAGAGCCGCCTCTACAGTTAAATTCTGTAGTAGTGACGTTTCCATCTGCTACAATGTCGCTCGAAAATCATGTATGAACGTATAATGCTTATGTTAGAGTAGAAGGTACAGTAGTTACGTAGTACATCCGTGTTTTATTCCCATGTCTATCCAGCTTCACCACTGATGGAGTATTATCAGCATCAAGGGTAGCCAGCATTTTTGTCCATTACATCTTATAGCCAGTTCATGAAGATTTATTTCGTTCATCGATCCATGCGTAATGACAATCAGCTATATATTGGTCATGTTCGCTTCTCTTATAATCTGTTTTTTCAGCTTGTTTTTTTAGCTGGAACAGTATTTTTCTTTGACAACAAATCAACCGGAACAGTATTTTGATTTGTTTTTTCAGCGAAGCGAACGAGGCATCCATCCCCTACCCATCCTAGTCCACTGTCTGGTACAGCACATGCATTATGCATAGATCACCGTACCAAGGCATGAGAGATTGAGGACTACTAGGTCTTGTTTGATGTTGTCGGATTCACCTCAATCCATATATGTTGGGGTGAATTAGGGTAAAATTTAGTTCAAAATCCACTCTAATCCATCTCAACACATGTGGATTGTTGCGAATCCTACTGTATAAAAAAAAGGCCTAGAGTGACCGGTTGAGCACCCAGCGGCTGAACATGGCGAAACACCTCTCCAGCTCGTACTCAGGTGCTGTATGCTCGCCACCCTGCAACAATAATCCCAATCCCGTTCCATTCCGTACCGTTGCACGCATTCAGTTAGAGACGGCATCAATCAACAATATGTATATAACTGAATTGGGCATGGACACTAGCTCTCTCTACGTACCTTGATCGTCGCGAACGTCATGTTGTTTGAGTAACTTATTGTAAATCTGCAAATTAATCAAGTAAGGATGGATGAATGAATGAATCATGGACGACAAATTCAGTACAGATCGAGAAGAACATATGAGCATGAGGAAGAGATCGATGCATGAGACCCAAACCAAACCAAACCCACCCAGCTGACTGCCCACCGAGATGCCAGGCCTCCAGTCATCGACGATGGGGAAGTTGAGAGATCTCACCCAAGCCTGGGTGCCCAGGTGTGGCACCAGCAGATCATGGTCGCCGCTGCAACCAACCAGCAACCATATTATTTATGACGAAACTCATATGTACTCCGGCTTCATTTCTCCGTGTCATGAGACCAGCCTTACCTGAATACCAGGGCACGGTAGCCTCTGGACGTCAGGTTCAGGTGGTACTTGATGACACTCTCGAGGTCGCGCTCGTAAGGCAACTCTCCTTCATCGTGGCATCTGACCCACTCGTCCACGGTACCCTGATCATCAATTCGGTTTAATTTGGCTCAGTTCTAAATTCTAATAACTTCTTATATTATTATTGCTGTTGTCATCACACTTAGAGCAAGTATAATAATAGACTGTAAGCTGACTAAATACTGAGGTGGAGGAGAGATGACAAGAGAGAGGAAAAACGGGTTGTAAGCTTACAGCCGGCTTAGGCACGAGAATAAAAAAAAACTTTATGAGAGAGAAAAGTGTGCCATGTATTAATAATGAAAAACTAACTATTATATTGGTGGCCTGAGAGAAAGCTGTAAAGAACCTTACAGCCAGCAAACCAGCTGTATTTCGTATAGGATTGGAATGAAATTAATTAACAAATGCAATGGGAATGACATCTCGGCGTATGTATGTAGCTCACCTCCTTGATCCCAAGAGCATCTCGGGTGCGTCTGTCGTTTGCCCAGAAATACGACAGGTCGTAGCCGTAATACTGCATGTAATCAGTAATAAAATTAATGAACAACATGCATGCATGATATAAATAGCTAGGCATCCCTAATCCCCCCTTACATACTGTACTGATGATCTGAGCACACAGGACATATATGCAGATGTTTATGTGCACAATTGAAGCTGACTTACAAAGCAACTAAATGGAGTACGAGCCGGTGGATGAAATAGCTGCTGCCCCACTCTACTCTCCTCTCCTCCCGTAGGATCTTCATCTTCCTGCTGCCATCTGAGGCCGAGCCACCGTCGTCCATCCTGCTGTAGACGACGCGACAATGCATTGGTCCAGCAGAACATGGGCGTTCTGAACTTGAGAGATGAGCTACAAGTACAAAGGCAGTGCAGGGAGCCATGGCTTCAGAACCGACGAGCAACAAGATCGTTCCATCTCACATAAATTAAGTACGTATAGAAATTCGCAGTCACCGTATATTAAAAGTAAGTAAACATCAAGTGTTCTTACATCATTGAAGGTATTCAGAGCCTGACCACACAACTCAGTCTTCTCCATGGCAATGCCCCAATATCATCTTGACACATATTAAAGAATTAACACCGCATTTAAAGAAGTATTATGCATGCATGGTCAGAGTGGCGACGACCCACTCAAACAATGATACAAAGTGTATGCAGATTGCTAATGCAGATCTTGATGAACATATATATAATTACCTCATACAGCTGGTGTGATATAATACCAAACCCGTGAGCATAAGGCACTCTAGAGCCAAAATCAATACGTTCCTCTGTGGACGGGTTGCCCACTAGATAGCCCTAATTAAAGATCGAGGAGACGGATTAGCAAATATATAAGACCATACGAATGAGTACACAAATTCTCAGAGATGGACTGAAACCAGATATAGGTAGCCTCATCTGTTTTGGATAGATACCTTGAGATTAGGTGCCGACTTCATTCCTGCTTCAACACCTGAACAATTACAGTGGAGGTATATATGAACAATTCCAGACCAAGTTGCATTATTGTCAGCAAATAGCAATGCAACCAGCGCAATCAATATAATACCTTCTGAAATCATCTGTGCAAGGAATGGTACAGTTTTTCCAGCGTATGATTCTCCACCGATGTAGAAAGGATTTGCAAGGTACTCGGGATGCTCGTTGAACCACTTGACGCCGATCAATCAAACAGCATTATTACTTAGTGTGCATAATTGGCTGCGCCATGAATGAAATATATATTTGTACTAGTAATAACTAGGCTGCAGAGATAAATGGAGCAAGGGTTTTGTATATGGTACCTTGTTGAGGAACTTATGCAACTGCAGCGAGGATGATATCTCTCCAACATAGTAGCCTTTGGGGTCTCTGGAGAAGGAAAACCCAACCCCAACTGGCGAATCAACAAAAAGAATATGCGCCACCTGCGTGCAGATTGAATGATCCGTCCGACCATCAACTTGTGTACTACTTCCCTGGAACTAGAAGTTAAACATGTACGTAGCTTGTAGCATGGAAAACATGTTGACCTGATGTGATCGATCTACTGGCCACTGTTTGTTAAACTTGGAAAGAATATTGATAAATACTTTGGATTTATAATTGAATTTGAAATAGATGCTGCAATCATTAACTCTACACTAACATTAATATATCCTAGTGCTAAGGTGAATTATTGATCTTCGGGTCCTTAGACGCTTTTCTTCCTTATGCTGTTTCAGGCTTTTAGAAGTCGGATGCAAGATAACAAACTTGTAAAACTATTCATACATATAGAAAAGAAGATGTAAGATATAGATTTTTTTTAGAAATAGATGGCTAAATGGGTCGGGAACAATTAGCAGCACTAGACCCGATTCTAAAAACACAACACTAGCATGACCAGCCTAACGACCATACTAGTGCTAGTGCTGGCTAGCCTGATGTATAGAGTCATGCCTAGGCGGCTCCATGCATGGCCCATAGTGCCAGTCCATAAACGGCACAATTATGGGCCAGGCACTATGTCGACTCGACTAAACCTATTGCGGAAAAGGCATGTAGTCTAGTGGTTACAAGAGCCTTATTAGCACCTGAGGTTCTAGCTAGGTTCAACTCTCTGTGGGAGCGAGTATTTCAGGATTTAATGGCGTTGTGCTTTCAGTGGTAGACGACGTTCCCATCAACAGCGAGACGCCTGTGGTGACTTCGTTTCCTTAATTAACTATTGGATGTAGCCAATTGGAAGCGCTAGGTAGAAAATAAACCTCCTCCTGCTTCTCACTCTCTCGTTCTCCACCCTAACTTCATATTGTGCCGATTGTTTCCCATGGCTCCTGTTTTTCAAGTTTAATGCCGCACCGCAATGTTACCATCCTCCATTGGTTGTACGTTTACATCCTTCTTCCACTGCCTTCGAAATGTAACCATATTTTACTTTTTCATATTTTTGTACTAATATCTATTAGTAGTAGAAAGAAATCATGTGAAAATATTTTGAGCAACACGGAGAAATAGCGGCACAGGTTTCACATATGCCAATGTAATAAATGCTTTAAAATAATATTGAAGACCAAAATATCACGATTATAGCAGATAATTAGGAAGTGATATAGAACAAAACTGCTGCAGCAAGACTATCGTTTTATTCTGAGAATAAGATAGGGAAATATTTTCTCTAAGAAGACAAGCTAGGCTGCTGCAGACAGGAAAAAATCGGTGAAAATAGTCCTCACAGAACAGTCGTGGCTATCTGCCGCAGACTCACAACACGTGTCTATACGTTTGATCGTCCTGAATAATACAATATTTTTTGTTTCCAACTAGTCCTCATAATTTATATGGCAGTCTCATCCTATCCTCCGTTAGATTCTTGCTCATGATGTGTCTTGAATATACTATAGGTACCTAGTCTCATCCTACAAAGGACAATCCTCACAGATTTTGTTTAGTTGCGGACTGTATTTTGGTAGCACTAGATGTTATAGGTAACTAGTGCCACAGGTAACTTATAGTCTTACTCTATATTAGTAGTAGAAGAGAGAGAGGATGAGAAGAGGGTACAAGGATAGATGATGACCTTCGTCCACGAGTTTGGGTCGTAGCGCACACTATAAGACAACATACATTTGCCGACACTTTTTACAGTAGACAAAGGGTACATTTCCCGACAGATAACTCCTCACGAAAGGTTTTACCGACAGTTTAGAAATAGTCGCGCTATAAGCCGTGGGCAAAACTTTCGCCGACAGTTAAAGGAATCGCCGACACTTTTTGTGTTGCCAAAGGGGAACCTACGCCGACAGTTGAAACCTTTGCCGACAGTTAACCCTTTGCCGACAGTTAAGACCTACGCCGACAGTTTAAACCTTTCCCGACAGTTTGTGTATTGGCAAAACTATTTTTAAGGTATTTTGTGAATCATGCCCTGTCCAACGACTAAACTATCGACAAAACTGTACTGCAGATATAGATATAAATACAATTTGAATAATTTGACAAATCCACTGTTATTCATATAGAAGGAAAATCTCAATTCTTAGGAGCTAGATAGAGTTGATTCATTTTCGGAAAACAGTGTTCTCATCAGGTCTGCAAAACATGACATAGACGTTCTGAACTTGAGACGACTAACAAAAAAGCCAGAGTAATATTTAATAGGCCACACATTTCCGCAGAGGACCATCCATGAGAATGCTCTAAGCTGCAGCGCCCTTGCCCTTCTTGCGCTGAAGCGTCTTCATGTAGAACTCAAGCTCTTTACCCTCAAGGATGTACCTGTTATACAAAAAAAGAAAAGTGTATTGTAAGGAGCTGCCTGCAATATAAGATACTAGAGACCTAGGCGCGGCTTTGCCGCGGCCTACTAGATCGAGTCCATCATAAACTTAAAGCAAAAGGTTGAGAGCTCATCACTGATAAGCTATGTTATGCTTTTGGTGCTACATCCCGTGCTGATAGTTCACCTTTGCTCTTCATTGTCAATAATAATAAACAACAGATCTCAAATGGAAATGAGCTCCAAATAAATACAAAATAAAAATATTTTTTGTATCATAAAAAATCATGGATTTAACAATAAATTGCACGATGGTGCGAAATAGCACACTGCATAAAGGTTATATATTATAATTACCAAAGTAGCTAAACAGAGCAAGATGAAGGATTAGATTTTCCAAAGCAATTCCACTATTTTTCTAGAATTACCCACTTGACAATCAACGGTTAAAATGACACACTTTGTACAATGGTGGAATTGCCATACTCATTTTGGGATTACTTATGATTTTCCTGGCACTACTATATGACATTTTGCTGTACTATAGTCAGAAATTTAGACTATCACTAAGCCAGGCTTCAATCTGAATGAGAAATTAGGAAGATAGAAAAAGAACACTCCAGGCTCCTAGTACATGTACCTTCATTGGCTTCTTGGAGGCACCTACAAATTCACATGATAGCTGTGGCCACAGCTCAGCTTCCCAGTTTCCTCGTTTGCTTCAAACTCTTCCTGAAAATTGAAATGGAATCGATGGCTACACATCAGGTGCCAAGTAGAGGTGCAGGAAGTGAGGAGGGAAAAGAGAAAGAGAAGGGGCATACTTGACAGATGCTACATCTCCTATCCATTTCCGTACAAAAATGGTTGGGGTTGAAGGCGGAGTACTTGACCATCCTAAGGCTTTGAATGGTCTCGTCTTCACGAAGCCCTGTACTTACATGTCCAATCCGGTCCTCAAGATCGAGCAATTCCTGTCAAGTGAAATAGTGAGTGATGATGAAGACATAAAATCTTCTGTTTTATTTTACATGGTATGCAGTGAGAAGATACATCATATGTCATGTTGTCAACATCGAGGCGCCAATCCTGATACTGATCATAAATACCCATTCTTCCCAATAATATCCTTGTTCGGAACATCATCTGCAAGTCACAAATAAGAAGTTCGAAAAATTAAAGAAGAAAACACATCACCTAAAAAAAACACTGACTAAAGACATCAACAGGTTCAGTAGGGGCTCCTGAGCTCCTCCTGTTCCCTCAAAAAAAAGACATCATCAGGGATCTCCCCTAAAAAATACTGCAGGATCTACAATGCACATGGATGACAGGGTGGAAGCACACCAATAGCCAGGTGTCGATCTCCTCGGTGTGTGCGTTCTACGGACTAAAATACCATGTGTATAGAACAAGTACATAGGGCTACAGACTAAAATACCATGGAAACAGTACTGTTAACTCCTTTACCTGAACACCTAAGTACTTCAACCAATAATTGCAGCACTATAATGTAATAACAAAGAGCACCTTTCACTGACAAAAATGCTAGTTCACATTCTATATTACCTTCTTATACAGCTAATTAACACCTACTGCTACTATAGAACGAACCTACTTGAACACAACACCTAATTTTAATCATTGGTAATGTGTGTAATCCATTGCCACTGGCTCATTCCAGAAAGCTGGGTAAACAGCAAAACAAGCAACATTTCAGCAACATGGCAGTTAACCGAAAGAATCAACAACATGGTTGTTTAGCTCAGCACAATGATTCAACATTGATGCATATAACCAGAACTCTGCATCTACACTCAAAGTCCCACCTGACCACCAACAAACTTATTTATTCCTGAGCCATGTTCTCCTATTACGGTATCACCTGCCGTCATGTGAACCCCTCATATCTGTGGCCGTTTCCTCAATGGGTACATTACCAGCAAGTAGAGTAGAGTAGATAGCATGGGGTACCACACACTTCCCAAGGCGCAGCCTGTTCTTAGCTACTGGATGTTCAACTCTAACAGAAAGTCCATGTTAGTTGACACTCCATATCTCAAAAGGATGATATCATGTGAAACACTCAACTAACAAATGAAGCAGAAATACACACACCGGAAGTCACCTATAATTATAAAAAGGGGTCCTATTGCAGGCAAGGACTTCATAATAAGTTTTTTTAAGGCTCTGAAGTCTGACCACAGCGACGCATTGTGAATTTGTAGTTTGCAGAGTTGATTCATAACAAAATTCATATCAAGCACACGACACAGTGAGTTGAACAGAATAGATGCTGCGTAACTATATCGTACCTCTTCCTCAACCCAAGCTTGGGAGTGCCACTGCTTGAATGGGGCAGCATCAACTTGCACAATGGCACTCTTCACAAGAATTTAAGTCCTCACAAGCTCATTGTTTGATGCATTGTAGAAGGTGCCATCGTAGGGCTCCACGACGAACCTGATGGGACCTGCAGGGAGGCGCGCGCATCCATGAAGCAACAACCAACCTTATGATCTCTTGTCTTCGTCATGTCACGTGTTTGTGGAAGTGAAAGTGTGAAACCTGCGTACCTATCTCGTAGGCCAGGCCGCTCAAGGCGGAGCAGCGCTGGCTGCCGGTGAGCCAGAGGAGGAGAGGGGCGGTCCTGCCGGCGCCGGCGGACTCGGACTGGACGAAGTAGTAGAAGAGCTCCACGCCGGCGGACAGCTTGCCGTTTCAGCAGCAGTTAGATCTCAAGCTCAAACGTCACGTGCTGCCGGTGTCGCGACAAAGGCCACGTACGTAACGTACCCTGTTTCGAGGTGGAAGGGGAGGCGGCCCTCGAAGCCCGGGAGGGTGGTGACCACCCGCCCCCGCCCGGAGGCGGCGACGGCGGCGACGAGCAGGAAGCAGCAGAGGCGGCAAGGCATCCTCCTCATCAGCACCATGGCACGCCTCGGCAGTGCGGAACTGTGCAAGGACAAGGAGCGAGAGATACTCCTAGTCAGATGTCCGATACTAGTATAAAAAGGCCAGCCAGCCATGGCCCATGGAGATGACAGTTGCAATCAATGCAAGGCTGCTGTGCAATGCAACCGAGCGTCGTCCGTCAGTCCCAGCAACCTGCCTGCCTACAACTAGTAGCTCGGCCGGAGTCGGAGAGGACATGGTTGTTACGGCTTCATCGGACGGTCATTCTCAGCTTCCGATACTCCTGTATACAATCCTCCTCCGTTTCTCTTTACTCGCCAATTTTGACCGTGGCATGAAATGAAGCCTAAGGTAATCCATCTGTGTTGCTTGAGTTGACCAAAAATGCTCCTAACTTACGGTTCTGTCTATGTAATTGCACCACAGAAATTTCTGGAATGAGCAACAGTGGGTAAAGAGCATCTCCGAGAGTTCCCAAAATGCCTGGAAAGCATCAAGTATTTAGAAAATTAAAAATTGATGAAAAGGGACCAGTATTTTGAAACGGAGGTTGGTACTACACTACCAACAAACACACAAAAAGGCGGTGTTCAATGCTGATAAAGTTTCAAGCAAGAAACATACAAAAACACTGCACGGCACGTCTCTTGCTCGCTCTTGGCGTCAGAGCGTCCATCGCCAAGTGCAGCCAGTCCTCTGGCGTCAGTGCTGACACCGTTGTAGAGTACACTCGTGGTCGGCCAGCGCACGTAAACTGCCCTCGTGCCTTATCTCCACCAGGACCAGATGGCCGGCCGGCTCTCGCTTCTCGGCGGACAGCCCGTGATGCCCTCAAACAGCGCTAAGGACGGACGAAAACTCCAGGATTTAAAACTTCAGAGTTCAAAATTTGGATGATATTTTGGTTGATTTTCGTCCATGTCAAACCTGTCGAATCCCAGAAGCTAGCGGATATGCATGAATTCACTGAAAAACACACCAGCACTTCGTTTTAACATCTATCATCACAGCTTCCCCATGCCAAGGTGATTCAGAGTAATTATTCTGAACAGAAAAACATGTACAAATATGAAACGTGTTAATTGCATGAATGAATACGTGACGTTACAATGATCGAGTACACTAGATTAACCACATTGTGTATGGTTGGAGGTAATTGGTGCAAGGAAATGGAAGGTTTCCCACTCACCACAGAGATTGGTGGTAATTGGACATTAAGTGGAACATGTATGCATCATGACTCATCAGTCATGACACGATTTTCCACTCCAAATCCCACTCACCAAACAAAGGACATGAATTCCCTATCCAGCTCCCATACTAAATTCCCTCCACAAGCCAAACAATAGAATGAGACTAAAAATCTCCAAGCTTTAGCAATTCCACCTAGCATTCTCATGCCCCTTTCCATCTGTTGCCAGGTCATAAATGAGGACAGCTAGCATCAGTTATGTCGAACGGTTCCATGAATGCGTGAATCCCCAGAGCTGTACAAAAGAAATGTCAGCCAACCAAGCCAACAATAAGGCATGCCAAATCAAGTGAGTACAGACTACAGAGACAAAAATGGGCGAGCTACTTTTGTATGCATGGTTCTAAAATGCATGAGATATTTTTGTGTGCATGGTTCTAAATCCACACTGCTATAACAGCGGGCAGCTATGTTTTCATCTATATGCATGGTTCTAAATAGCTCACCATATCTTTTCCATAGTGTCTACCGCTACAATATCGTCAATCATTCCGCTATTATCGTCATTAGCTCTTTAGCGTTAATCCTAACTGAAGCAAATACTCATTCTTTACTCCATATGACTGTTAATAATTGATGTAATGAATCATTACATAATTATTGAATTGTTGAATGTCGATTGAATATAAACATTAATATAGCCATGAGTATGATGATTGATTTAATGACCGTTAAGTAATGGACAGAGACATGTTCCCTAGTGCCCTATAATGTAGTTAGTATTTCTGTTCATGAAATTTTCTTAGTTACATATTTCTGTGCATCATTAATTAATAATTTTATGTTTTATATTAAAACCCTAAATGAAATAGATTCTGCTATATCCCGCTATATAGCCTTTTATAACTAATATGAAGCTGCCGCTAAATGGCTTTGCCTGTTATTTAAAACCTTGTCTAAATGTAACTGAAATAAAAAAAAAATTACTTACCTCCACATTCTTTAGTTCAAACTCTGGACTATGTGCCAAGCATGAGTTTCCAAATGTCTCACATGATCCACTGCTTCCATGTAACCTAGTCAAATAAAATTTAGATACATACAGATACTTCTCCCCACAGAGCAAAAGTCTATGCCAGCATAAGACAGCTTACAGATCTTCATCAACACACAATGCGAAGCTTCCACCACCTCCAAATGCTAAAGCATCATTCAAGCACAAATAGTAGAATCTGTTTGCACCTGGATATGCTTCCAAATAAGCTCTTTGAACCAATAATTTCTTATATATATTATTCTACTATTGAAAATTCTAAAAAGGGTGCAGGCATATACAAAACTGAAAGTTCATTAGTAAATTCCACGTTATTTTGACACACTATGAAGTTGTGTTTGTAAAACTTGCATACGCACACATTATCCAGTATGCCTCATTATCTTGAAGGCCATGTTAGCATGCATTTTAGGTTTTATTTGGTTGGGAGACACCCAGAGATGGGATGGTCCCGTCTCAGTTTCTAGAGACGGGACGATCCCATTTGGTGTTTCTTGAGGGACGACGAGATTGTCCCATTTTTTGTTTGGTTTGGAGACACCAAAACTGAGATCAGACACTTGACTTGGGGGCCACCCATCAGTCTCTTTTCTTTTTCTTTTTTTCCTTTCTTCTTCTCCCATCTTCCTTCCATACGCACACGAAGACAGGCACTTCCAGCCCGCAGCCTCACCAACCTCGCCATCCTCCCAATCTCCATCACCAACCTTGCCGTCCTCCCACACCTGACGCCTCCGCGCTGCGCCCCCTGCACCTCCACGCAAGTTGTTGAGCGTCAGCAGGGGGGCCAGGCCAGGCCGCCACGAGGCCCGGGCAGCTTTCTCCTCTTTCTCCTCCCAACCCATTCACTGGGACTAGGTCCCCAGGAGCTTCGCCTCATGATGACCGCCTGTGGCCAAGGGGCCAGGGGTGCTTCAGCCACTTCGCTCAAACAAGTGGCCAGGGGCCTGGGGCGGACACTCCTATCGCCCATTTGACACACGGCGGCGCCCGAACCTTGCTGGCCACCAACCGGTGTTGGACAAGCTTTCTCTCTTCTCCTCCCCTTGTATGACCGCAACCAACGCAACATACGCCATGACACTTAGGTGTTGAACATGTGGGCATAAGCCTGTGTCCCAGGTAGGACGAACAAATCCTTTGAAATTTTAGGGATGAGGTTGCCCCAGATCTTCAAGGAATATTCTCATGAAGGATGACTCTACCCCTGGTTGACTCCGAACCAAACGCTAGGACAAGGTGGGATATCCCACCTGGGACCATCCCATCCCTGGAACCAAACAGTACTAGTCTTCATGTGCCACTAACTAGTGGCTCAGATAAATTGATAATGTTTAGGGACTGTCTAGGTTAAAATTAGATTTAACAGAGATAACAGCAAATAGCTGCTGACTTGTGAAACAATTCAACATATTTTCTAGATACCCATTCATACATTGGTCAGAAAAGTCTAGGTTCAGCAAATATCATTGTGAACACTTGTATAAATTTTACTTACCTGTTGGTCTGAAAAGTCTAGGTTCACCATGTATTGTTGTGAACACAAATGTCTGGTTTGTTCCCTGGTCAATAAGGAAAGGAATGATAATTACTATAAAGCTGGGCAAAATAGCAATTTTCATGTACATGCAGCATGACCTGTATTTATTATGCACAAGTATAATGTGCAATTTATCTATGGCTTACCTGATATTTCCTTTTCTCTGTGGGCCGCAGAGGACTGTTCAATAAGCCACCAAACACAGCCCCTTGCATATCTCCAACAATCTAATCAAATAAAGAGGGGGGAAATATTCAGAACAATGGCCAATCTCTAGAAAAAAGAACATGAATTTCACACTAAAGTATGGCACAAGTCTGATCATGTCGAGACCTTAAAATTGTAAGCGCAAGTAGATAATTGGACATACCAATAGGCATGGACCCTGAATATTCTCACTTCTACGAAGAAGTGTTCTTAGAGATATCCCATGCTTCCAGGTGCTGCACTTCAGTTGTTAAAAAACAAGAAAGAATTAAAAGTACGCAGATAAACATTAAACAGGGTATTTTCACAGAAAAAAAGCTGAAGGAGTGACCATGTGACTAATACTTTACCTATATAGCAATACCCAGTGGCACCCCTTCAAGGTCCCAGGGAGAGAAGATTGAAAGAATGCAAATAGTTTTGGAGACACAAACACAGACTTTTCAGTCAGACAACGAAGAGTGACCGCACAATCTGAAGTTGATGTTTCCTCATTTCCATTTGAGTTATTTATGGACCTGTATGACTGAAGGGCCTGGTCGTTACCAAAATTCCCATTCCTTTCATCTCTCTCACTTTCAGACCCAGACTCCTCACTCAATTCCAGGGGAGAATCTTTCCATGTTAAATCACTCCCTCTCCATTGCTTAGGACGCGATTCAGGAGGTAATGGTCTCAAAGTCTCAGAACAAGGTGAATTCTGCTCATGCCCCAAGTTTGAGGTTGGTAGAAGGGAAAATACATACGAAGATAATGATGATGTCTTGGGGGGAATAAAAGGTTCTGCTGGGAAAGATTTTGCCTGAAAAAATACAGGTTACTATATAATAACATCCAAAAAGCATAAAACAAAAGATGTGCTTAAAACAGATTACAGACAAGTAGTTAATGAAGAATTTAGCAACATCCGTAAACTAAATATCTAAGTAACAAATGAACCCCGTAACCTACACTTTCAGGTTAAGTCCGGTCCCTCCACAAATATCGAATCAGCAAGCAAGTAGAATCTGGCCCTCACTGATCATTGTTGAATCAAGGCTGGATGGTATTTTGGATTGACAAATCATTTGATTTAGTATGGAAAATGCAATGTTCTACACATAACTGCTGATAAATGGTAATTGCAAAAAAAAAAACTATCATTTGACTTTCAAATAGCATAAATAGGCTTTTTTTTCCTTTCCTCAGAAAATTTATTAGTTTTTTACTGTTCAAGGATGGTGTAAACATAGGGGCACACAACACTCACTTCCCCCCATCCGTATCCATAGAGGAGGTGCTCTGCCCATGAATAAACTTTATGAAGCAGCAAGCACGCTAATTGAAGAAGGGTATAGTAATAAATGTACTTTAATTTGTAAAACGGACTTGATCTGGACAGATAAGTAATGCATCAAGGAAACAAAAACGAGATATCAGCATGGAAGGCCAACATTGTGAGCTTTGTATATTTAACAGCCATGTGCAATATTGTCAAAGAAACCTTTCAGGCGTTTAAATACAAATATACAATTGAAGTTTGAAGGGCCTGATTTTGGGATTATGCGTAGATGTTCTCTCACTGGACACAGCAATTTGAAAAGATTTATTTGGATGACTCAACAAAAGAAAAGGTACTCTAGCCATGTGTTGTGTACGTTTTGTGAAGCACATCTGCATGTGTAACTCAGAGAAGGGTAGACTAACAAATGTACTCTAGTTTGTCAAAGAGGATCTGAAGTGACAAATGATGCATCGAGGAAATGAACTGAGCAACCAACATGGTGAGCTTTGTATATATAAGGCTCCATTATAGTTTATTGAAGAAAACTTAGGTTTTTTATGGATATACATTTAAAGTTCAAGGGACTGATTCAGACGAATACATGGTTCATATGTTCTCTCACTGGACATGGCACTTCATTAGTTCATTCTGACTAATTCAGATGATTCAACGAGACAAAATTCATCAAGTGCAACATCTGAGGTAACCCAGCCAAGAATTCTATCTACTGGATCAGAACTAAGAGGCCATACATGGATTAGTAAGTCTAATTTCAACATGGTTACCCTGCATGGTGAATTATATTATATATCAATAATCAAAATGAAGACAAGACAATGCCAATGCACATCAATGCAATTCCAATAGTAAAAGAGATTAGGTGTTAAACGGAAGGCACTATCTCCAAACCGTTGTGTTAGCGATATTTTGCAAATGCACATCCAAATCGGTGAAGGGCGGGCCTGATGCAAGCGGTAGAGTCTTACCGCCTGTGACCGGAAGGTCCTGGGTTCGAGTCGCGGTCTCCTCATTGCACAGGCGAGGGTAAGGCTTGCCACTGACACCCTTACCCAGACCCCGCACAGAGCGGGAGCTCTCTGCAGTGGGTACCCCCCCCCTGCACATCCAAATCGGTGCAGGCAGCGGTGGCAGCTATGCCACATCTCTAATGCATGACAATGCAACCTCCTAGCCCGGCAGAAGCCTACATGCACAGTTGCCCACAGGACCAGGATTAGGCACCAATTAAACCGCAGGATGGGAAGACTGCAGCAATCCATCGAAATAGACCCTGAACCGGACAAAAACCGATGCTTAGCTTCCAGTGTCTCATTCCGTCCAGGAAACCCAATTCCAAATCGAAATCTAAGAAGGCCAGCAGGACAAGGAACCAATCACCTAAACAACAGGTACCGAGCTCCGTCATACGAACCCACGCGATTCGTGGAGGAAGAAAAATCGATCCTTTGGCCATGAATGGATGAAATTCGACTCCACGGGTCTTCTCCAAGATCCCACCCACCTTCCGGCGGGATCCCAAGCCCCCCGTACCAACCACCGAATCGACAGGCACCCACACACAATGCTAATGCGAGCAGCGCGGGAGGTCCGGAAAAAGGGAGGCGGATCTCACCTGCGATGGCGCGACGGCGGCCTGCGCCGGGGAGGGGGAGACAGGGGAGTCGGCGAGGAGGCGGGCGAGGCGGTCCGCCACCTTCTCCTTCCACGCCAGCATCGCCCTCACCTCACCTCACCGTTGGCCCCCGCGAGGTGGTGGCGCGAGGTGGTGGTGGAGGTGGCGGTGGCGGTGGCGGTGGCGGTGGCGGAGAGGAAGCGAGAGCGCGCGGACGGCGGGAGGAGAAGGGAAAAGGAAAGGGAAAGGGAAGAAGTTTCAAGCTTGGTTGATGGCACACGCCGCACGCGTGGAAGGTGGAACAGGTTAGGCCCGGCGCCGGCAGTCGGCACGACCTCACGCCACGCGGTTCACGACACGGCACCGCCCCCGCACGGTCGCGGTGTGGTCCGTGGGACACGCCAACGGCGGTCAGCACGGTCGATGATTGATCCATCGAGCACCGACGACCCCTTTTTTACTCTATATCGGAGGCTCTCTCAAAAAAAATTGTTTCTCAAAAACTAGTTTTCTCCACAGCAGCTCTCCTATATTTTACACCTAAAAATATTTTAAACTTTGCCACATCGTTAACGGACAGAATTAGTTGGATTCTAAGTTTTCCGTCCGCGTGACATGTTCCATCCGGCCAGCCGTTCCTCCTCCGTACCTGGACTCTTGACCATTTTCGTCCGCTCATCTCCAGGTCCAATACAACTACGAGGCCAGGCTGTGCTAGCGCCGCCATCAGGCTTGTGCTTTCCTGCTAGTATACGGTGACTCCAGGTCCAATACAACTATGAGGCCAGGTTGTGCTAGCGCCGCCATCAGACTTGTGCTCATTGCCATCGCCTGTGGCCTTGCGTGTTCTCTGCTATCGTTCCTCCTTTCGTCGGCATGTTACGATCCCACAGCTGATTCTAGTTCAAGATAGGTAAAAAGGATCTACCATGAATCAACATAGCTTTCTCATGAGCCAAGTGTTAGATGATTCATCGTCATCAGGTGATGATGATGATTTCTTTTTTTTGACATCGTATATGCGGTAATTGAGGATGAGTCTGATGAAGAGCCAAAACATATATTGAGGTTCTGTTCATGGGCATCGAGTGCTTCAGCGTGATAGGCAGGAGGGACATCAAAGGCTATAACAGGATTATTTCGCCGATAATCCTACGTACACGCCAAATTATTTTAGACGAAGGTATGCGATGCAACACATTTGTAGAAAAAGATGCTTATATATGTGTCTAATTATTTTATACTGCAGGTTTCAAATAGGGCGACGTTGTTTCTGCGTATAATGCAAGCTGTAGAACAACACGATGAATATTTTGTGCAAAAAAGGAATCCTGCCAGTACACTTGGTCTGTCTAGCTTGTAGAAGATTACAGCAGCATTTTGGATGTTAGCTTATGGAGTAGCAGCTGATGCTATGGATGTGGGCGCTGCTGCACATCAGCCGCATCTGAGCACGGCCAAGCGCCACACGCCCCTCAGGGAACCGGCTTCCCTGCCTTGACCCATCTTCAACTGAACCTGGTGGGAGAAGACGGGAGGACACTACTATGGCAGGTGGAGCTAGGAGCGCGGCAAACATCCAAAAAAAATGGCACGAGCATGGGAGGACAAGCGCGGGAGGAAGATTGAGCACGCCGTCAGAGGAAGATTGAGGGCGAGGCTCAATTTTTCGAGTGACCAATGGCCTGTTCGGATTTAAAATACTGTATTCGGCTGATTGTTGTGAGAGAAAAATACTGCTCAGGCAGGCTCAATTTTTCGTGAGAGCGAGAACCAATCTTAAAGCCAAATTAAGAGAAAATTTGGGAGAAGGTTTGGAGAGTTGTTGGACCCGTGTTTTTTCTTCTAATCACGTAAATTTTAGTTTTGAGGATATTATTAGCCTTCTGTTGGATATGCTCTTACATGAAATTTGTCCTAGTCATATACGGAGTATACACTGCCTCCATAATCAGAGGCAGAGCATGGCCCAAACGCAAGGGGGGCCGAATCGCCTATTCCTGATCACTGTGTAACATTTTTTTTTAAAGCCAGTTCAGCCAGCGCTGCAATCGTTTGTGGAGATTTTTGGGTTACAACGTTTTTAGACTTTATTTAATGGCTTCACAGCATTGGATAGTACACATATATGCACTTCGTTAGGGATAAAGATGGTACGGATATTTTCCGACAGTCATTCGAGACCGAATCCGTTTAGAAGGGTTCAGATCTATTCATATCAAAGTCCGGATATTTAACATCAACTACCGTATCTGTATCCGAATACTCAAATCGTATATTTATGATGTCGATATCCAATCGTATCCTATCCGGCATGGTTGACACTATCCGTATTCGAATCCGAATCCGGATAGAAATATGAAAACAAATGTAATATCAGTGATATCCGTTCGTATCTGATCCATTGGGAAAATGCGCCTCGGCCCCCTGTCGCATCGTCTTGCGGCCGCCCCGTCCTGGACACGGACGCGCACTTCCCTCGCTGATGTCGCGTGCCCCATATGCCACCGCTCATTTGCGCCCCATCGCATGCGCCTCCCCCCTCCCGTCGCGTGCGCTGGTGGTGGTGGTGCTAGATCCACCCGTCATGCGCGCCGCCCGCCCTACCGACCCAAGCCCGGTGTTGGCGCTGGTGGCGGTGGTGCTCGCGCGCGTCGCTGGTGCTGGATGCTAGTGGTTCTCGCGCGCCGCCACTCGCCGCCTGTATCCCACCCCGATGGCCGGAATTGACCGCCACAAGCACTCCCCCTCCTTTATGTTGCAAATATATGTTTCAAGTGTTTCAGACGTTTAAGAGGTATGTTGTAGTTGTTTCATATGGATGTTGCAAAAATAGATCGGGGATGTTGCACTTGTTGCATATACTGCATGTGTTTCAGAGACATGTTGCAAGAGTTTATTTAAAATATTTCATCTGTTCTAGATGTATGTTGCATGTGTTTTAATCTACATGTTGCATATGTTTCACACATATGTTACAATAGTATGTTCCAAATATTTCATCTGTTCTAGTCTTCCGTTGCAGCAAGTATTTTTATGTTGCAAGTATTCTATCTGGACGTTGTATATGTTTTCACACATATGTTGCAAGTGTATGTTTCAGATGTTTTATCTGTGTTAGACGTATGTTGCATTCAAGTGTTTCATGTTGCACGTGTTTCATCCTGTTCGGAGAGTCAGGGGGCGTGGGGGAGTGATGGTGGCACGGCACGGGCACCGGGAATGGGCGCGGCGAGCTGGTGGCTAGCGAACGTGGCGCGCGGCGCTCTGGGGGCGACGGGGCAGGGTGCGCCTGTGGGGCGGGACGAACGGATGAGGGCAAGGTGCGCGGATGGGGGGAGGTGGAATCAAGGCGGACGGGGCGGATTGCGAGTGAGTCGTACAAACGCGACGACGGCGCGATGCCCATTTGAGCAGGGCGAATTAGCGGACGGGGGCAGGCTATGCAGGCACGCGCGGGAAACGACCGTGGAATCCTATCCCGTCACGTTGGGGGCGCCAGCACGTCCCTTCTGACATGGCACAGTTGGCCCCCTCCCCTTGTTTTACCAGGACGTCACAGCCAGCAAGTCAGCGACTCAAGCACGTAGAGCAACAGCAGAAAATTGTTGCAAACAAAGAAGCAGCCTATGTATTCTTTTTAATAAATTCCAGTAAAGACCCTTTTCCGTACAGCTGATGATGCCCTCAAAGTTGTCGCTGCAATGCTGATCACTGCTCTCAACTCAGACTCTCCGAGAGCCTGAATGGAATACGTTATCCCTCTTCCCTCACTAATTATCCTAGTGTTCCCACCCACACAAAGATCAGAAAAACAACATGGCACGATGACTCGGCGATGAGAAGAGAGCAGTTCAGGCAAGCATAACGACAATGGCTCCGTTAGGTCGGTCGCGTAGGTGATTTGGAGCTGGCCTCTTGTTGCCCATAGCCTCTCTCGCAGTCGCAGTTGGCCGGTGCAGCCTGCAACAGGATGTGTAGTGGGACGGTTCAACCGAAGCGCATGCAGGCCAGGCCAGATTAGATTAAAAACCCAGCACTTGTTTCATTGTTTTAAATTAACAACCATGCATTCTGCACAAATGCTTGTCTAATGTAATACAATGTGACATTTGTGACGAATGCTGAAGGTGAACAACTGAAACATGCATGGTTTGGATCCGCACGTTGGCTACACGCTCCACACTGATGCCATGCATCGGTCAGCAGTACGCACTGAAGCACAGCCGGTGGGAGATAATTCTTCCATTCCATGCATGAGAAATTAATAATGTATGTATCTTCATGCCAGAAGCATGCATGCATGTAAAAGCTAAGGAAAGCAACCCATCACTCTGTTGCAAAGCTTGTGCATGTGGAATTCATAGCCTCAGCTCGTGCAGTTGCAGGCTAATTCGTGCTAAAAAACACTGCTCAAGGAGTCAAGGTAGGAAGGTGCTCTCGTTTCCGAAAAGGGGAAACGGAAGGACAGATGAACAGCACGTTTGCAAGCCTGAAATGTGCAATTGGTTCGGTTTGGTTGGCACAAGCATGTTCTGAAATCTTCTACTCTAACTCCCATCACCTGCAGTCTCGTGCATCCACGGTGATATCAAACAATGAACAGCAGGCTGGACAAATTATACCTCCTGGCAACCAGTTTGTATATATATGTATGTATGCCACTTGATGCTTGGAATTACAGGTACATCATTCAATATTTATGAAGAGACTAAATTACCCTCACTGGTACACACATGCTGTATACTGATCGTACGTGTAGCTTGTCGTTCTGCTGTCAGACACCTTAGGGTGTGCACACATTTGCAGACTTGCTAGCCAACATATGCGCATAATTACAAGATAGTAATACACGGTGAAGATGGCAGTGCTGAACTATGCATCTTGCTGATGAAGGTCCGAAAGCACTCGGTTCAATTGAGGTGGTTGTTGTCCTGAAGGGTGTACTTCACATCAGGCAGCGCCTGCAGAACGTCAGGATGCTCTGGCCAAGAAACAGATTAGCACAAGAGTTAGTATGCATTTCCAATGTCCAGGCCTTGCAAACTGTGAAATTTAATCACATGAATTTTGCAGAAACACAAGAAATGGTTTGAGTTTTG